CACTTTTATAATATTTTGTGTGTCCCCCATACGCATCCTACTTTGTCGTCCTATAAATATTTGGAGATGCAGCTCATCCATTAGCTACACTGTGCTGATGAGCCCCAAAAGGGTGAAACAGCTGTCCACAGTTGCTAAGAGCAGGACACACTAAAGTCATAGTCCGTTCATGGCTCTTTACGCTGCTTTGAAACTACGACATGTAGTACGCATGCGTATTCGAGATATGACCTACTTTGTCACTTATATATATATATATATATATATATATATATATATATATATATATATATATATATTTTTTAATAATTACAACTTTATTCATCATTTCATTATATACAACAATGCTTTTGTTATCAATGACTATATTATATAATCTGTTCTTTGGGTATAATTAAAAAAGTGTCTAAATGTTTGTTGATATGTACAGTTAAATTTTAAAAACAAACTCTGGAACATATACCGCTACATAATTAAAATATTTACCGCTAAGTAGCTAAATAAATAAAATATATTTTTATATATTTTGTATATATATATTTTATATAATAAATATATATTTTAATAATAATAATAATAATAATAATAATAATAATTTTTTTTAAACCTTTACAAATCAATTACATAGCCTGACCCATATAGTCATACATTTATGAGTCCAGACCAAATTTTCCCTAACTACACTTAATAAATAAGACAACAGTTCTCTGAATAAGCAGGTCCGTTATCTACACTGTCACACATTAGTAGCTAATAGAAGTTGAGTTTTTCAGGGCAAGACCAGTTCTTATTTCTCTTACAAAATATGTAGAAAGTGGCACGAAGTGCAACCTCCATACATTTTGTTATGATACGATCGTCTTGCAAATGTAACAACCTACATAGCCTACGAAATTGGCCTATACTCTTCGTGACGAAGCCTAGAGTAGTGACTTCCAAAGTTATAACTTTAAATCTATCACACGGTACGAGTAACTGTGATTGCAATGCCCGATATTTTTCTTGTTTACGTCGTCTTGCAATCATGCAGTTCGTTTCATATGGGACAGTCAATTCAATCACATACAAATCTCTTTTATAACGAATCGTAATATCTGGCCTTAACGCTTGAAACAGATTGGACGTACATTTCAAGCCAGAGTCTGGACAATCGGCAAAAATCTCCAGGTCTTCCGACATCACTCTCCTTAAGTGATGAAGAATGGTGTTTAATATAGAATCATGCCTCCACGTATATCGATGTTGTTGTAACGCTACAGGGCAATATGACAGAACATGAAGCTGTGTTTGAATTTTGTTGCAAAGGTCACAATTTGGAGGATCTCGAATGTTCCACCGCTTGAGGTTAGATTTGTTGCTCAAGTTAAGCACTAGAGCCCGTCTTGCAAAACAAGTTATATTACGGGGTAGTCTGCAAACCATTTCTTGCCAAAAGTGCAGTATTTTCTTGTTGCACGCTTCAGTTAGATATCTTGTTGCACGCTTCAGTTAGTAAAATTTGCCCAAATATCATTTGTACTTTGCTGTTTCAATAACTTATTTGTTCCGGTAATAATAATAATAATAATAATAATAATAATAATAATAATAATAATAATAATAATAATAATAATAATAATGGAAACTTTATTGAAATTATATACGTATATATACAATTATAAATCTCACTAATTTAGGTAATTTATAATTGACTACTTGAACCTGCTTAATATTTATATATTAATAATGAGTATCCTTAAATGTTCAGTAATTCCGGATTTAACCAGTCCTTATCTCTGCAACAAAATATATAATATGTTGTCCTAATCGCGATAGACATAATTTTCCTGATAGCGAAATACTGGTGTCTTTTATCAAGACCTAGATCAGTTAGCATATCTAAAAAGGAATGACATTCTTTTGAGAAAACGCCTAAAGAACTAATTGACAAATTTACAAATTTTACGGACTTAAATTGTTTCTTTTGCTGTGTAATGAGATCTTCGTATCTTCTTCTTTTCCGATCAACATTTGTTTGTAGATTAGACTCATAGCCAACAGAAAGTTCAAGGATATAGAGACAATCCGAGTTGATAGATAGAAGTAGGTCTGGGCGGAATGTGTCAAATAATAATAATAATAATAATAATAATAATAATAAGAAGAACGACGACGACGACGACGACGACGACGACGACGACGACAACGACGACAACGACGACGACGACAACAACAACAACAACAACAACAACAATAATAATAATAATAATAATAATAATAATAATAATAATAATAATACTCTAGTATAGATGAGGTGTTGCCTTCTTTCGCCATTTTGAGATTGGCGATCGCCTGTATCCGAGGTTCAAGAAAATAGACACATCAGATAAAAAGTAAGGACATAGAACTAGGCTTTTCGGAAAGCCAGCTATGCAATAATTGACGTTAGAACTGATACTAAATTAAGTATAGTGATTTTTAATAAAAAGAACAAACCTTACTTAATATTATAATTGGCAAGTTTTTTTTAAGGACAGCTAGTTTAATATTTTATCATGTAACATATAGAACGTAATATTTTTAAACAGCATAGTGTAAGGTATCTTTTTAATAAATTATCATAATAATGGAAACTTTATTAAATGTTTTTCTTTACATACATATACAATCGTAAATCTCTCTCATAAAGGTAACTTACGGTTGGCTATTTGAATCACAATTATACTAAACTAAAATAACAGAACAAAGTGCATGCAATATATATATATATACAATGAGATAAGTCAAATTGTTAGTAAATCCGGATTTTCCCATTTCTTATTTCGGGAGCAAAAAATGTAATATGTAGTTCTAATAGCAATGGTCATCATTTTCCTAACGCAGTACATTTGGTGGTTTTTGTCAAGACCAATGCTTTCTAACATGTCTAAAAATGTATAACATTCTTCTGCAAAAATACCTAAAGAGCTGATGGAGAGATTTATAAATTTAACTTGGTTAAAATTTTTACCTAGCTGTCTCAATAATTCTCTATATTTATCCTTCTTCCGTTTTACGTTGCTTTTGAGGTTTGTCTCATAACCAGTGGTGAGTTCAACCACATATAAGGAACCATTTGAGCACGATAATAACAAATCTGGGCGATACGTATCACCAGTAAGTATTGAAGGGCTTTTGAATCCATTTAGATCAGCGTAGAGAGTAGAACCGTCAACAGTTTGTAAAGTATGAGCAAGAAAGTTCAGGACTGAATTGTGTCTCCACGTAAATCGGTCGAGATAAAACTGACGTACATCCAGCTACTATGTGTAATAATGTTTCAGGGCTAAGACAAAAAGAACAGTCTGAATTTGAAGATATTGCCCATCTGTTTAGGTTTTTGCGCGTCGGAAGAGAGTTCTTAATGTAACGAATGGTAAAGTTGTTAATGTTTTTCGGGAGCTTTGATTGGGCAATGGACCACACCTTGTTAAGCTGAGGTAAAGCGAACTTCTTGACGCTGCAGAAAAAGGATCCTTGACTGGTTAATTGGTTTAGGAGTTTGTTTTCGTGTCCAGAACGGAAATCTTTGAGAACTTCCTTAGTAGAGTTATAAGCGTCATATTGGATATTAGTATGGTTACTGGTTGCTTTCCACAGGTCGTTAGTTGATTCACCAGGAGAAGATTTTAAAGCTTTTCGGAGGATTGTTTGACACTGGATAAATTTTACAGATGGAGGATAAATACTCAGACCAAATTTGTTATTTGTTAGAAAGACAGTACTTAGTGTTCCTGATATTGGTACTTCAAGCCATCTGCGGATATATTTGTTGGCAATAGAATCGATATTTTCAGTAACCCATGTTTTAGAGAGTGTTGCGACGGTAAAGTGCCAGGCTAACTTGGACAAGACGTAGCGACTGTAGAGGAGCAGTTTATTTTTGGGGTGTAGTGATTTTGAGTCAATATCAGTCATTAGTTCATTAAGTAGGGTTGTTAGTTCAGTTTTATGATTATCATTCGACATGTGGAAATCAAAGTAACGTCCTAAATATTGAAATGATTCTCCAATGGTGATTTTTGGTATTAGTTGATTGCTGATGAGGAGTTTTGGCAAGTACTGGACTGATTTTGTGATCGCTTTTTTAATGCTTTTTTAATTTTTAATTAATAATAATAATAATAATAATAATAATAATAGTAATAATTAAAATTTCTGCAAACAACATAAATTAATAAAAATATGTTTAGTCCATAAAAAGTATCTTTGGTCCATATCATTAATAGTAATCTATAATAGTAATAATCAGTAATAGTACGTAATATAGGTATTAACAAAGAAAAGAATGATAAAATACGGAATACTGTTAAAAAAGAAAAAACTAACTAAGAATGTTAAAAACTTAATTTTAAGAAAGAACGAAACATGTTCCGTGAACAATTACCCTAATTGTAGTATATGATTTAATCTAGTTATGAAATTCCAAGTTCAAGGGTTAATAATTAAATTACTTTCAGCAACCTCCGTTGCTATTCCCATGTCCGTATGACGGCGCCGACGCACTCTTGATCCTCTTATACAGGATATAGTTGATTTCATTAGAGCAAATGATATGTGACATCGCATCCAGGCTAATGTGGTATTGTAAGGAGATTTCCGTTTGTTGGCCAAAAGTTCCGCTAATCTTTTATAAACCACTGTTGTTTCTCCGCTGGCACCTCCTGTTGTTGAACCATTTTCAACTTCCCTTATCCGATCGCCATTTTCTCTCTTCTTATCTAGTTCATGTTTCCGGAATAAAGCTGCAACACTTTTGTCACGGTAGCTTGGCGCGTTGGGGTGAAAAACCCTAACATCAAAAAATGCGCTTTGCTGCCGTCCCCAAAGTCCGATAGTTTTAATATCGACCCGGGCATCTTCTAGTTTATTCGCGGAACGGGGAACGATAATCTCTCCAGATAAGGGCTGAAATGGTAGTTCGGTTTCCGTCTCTCTGCATACTTCACTCATCCACTCAGCGGTAAGATCACGGATTTCGTTATGACGAGATATAGTCATAATAATGGAAACTTTTTATTAGATATTTACGATATACTATATATACATTGATAAACCTCACTTAATAAAAGGTAGCTTATCGATGTCCACTTGAATTGAATATAAAACTAGCTAAAATATATATATATATATATATATATATATATATATATATATATATATATATATATATATATATATATATATATATATATATATATATATATATATATATATATATATATATAGGTGAAAAACGTTTAAATTTAGTTAAAAGTTTAAAAGTTCCGGGTTGTTCCAGTCTTTGTTTCGTCTACGAAATATTTATAATAAGACGTGCGAATACAATCACGCCTGGCATTTTCGCACGCGAAATTGCACATTTAAAATGTGACAAATTTTTCCTGAACCGCGCGATAATTTTGGGAGCTTGGTGGCGAATTTGAGAATTGTAAAATTGCTCAAATTGCGCGAGCTAATTCTTGTGCGCGTTTTCCTTGAGGGTTATTTGAGGGTAATAGGGAGACAGATGGTCTCTAATGGATCAAAATGATATCAATATTGCCATGGTTACGGGCAATGTTTCGCCACTGGCCCGCTTCTTGCTCGAGGCATTTGAGCGAAATGGCGTCTTTTGTTCGAAGTCGAAAAAGTGCAACAACTTCGGCTTGTATAGGCTGCGTTGTACAAGCTTATTTTCATTTTGTTTTTGGTTCCTATATAAGACAAGATACGTATTTAAGTTTGTATGTTTTTTGTTTTTGACAAAATGTGCTAGAAAAGATAATATTATACCTTTTACAAAGGCAACGCGCAATAGAATATTCAATGTCGCAGAGTATATGCGAAAGACACAGTTAGGCTGTTGCAGTTGAAGAGGAGAACAAAAATGCAAAATATACAGCTTAGGAGCTATAAGGGATTATATTCCAAGGTAAGAAAGGTTTTTCATTTCTTTTGTATTTTTTATAATCGAGGTTCTGAATTATCATGCTCTTAATTTTACTGAAACAGTAATCAATATTATATCCTCATATTATGAACTGAGCCCATCTTGATCGTACTATAACTCAGGTTTATTCTTGTCGTAATGATGAATTATTCGCGCACAATTAAGTGTTTAAGTTGCTTTACAGTTTTGCAAATATATACTAACCCATCAGACCAGCTAATAGTCTGTTTTATATCACTTATAGTACATCTATTTTTAAACTATAAACTGTAGACGAAGCTAACCCAATCATGAGCTTCAAGATCAATAAGTACTCAAATTTTGTGGCAGACAAAATTAATGAACTCCCAGAAAGCAGCATGAAAATACTACATGGTGTATGAAAGTACATCCTGACTGCTCGTCACTCACACATTTTGATTAATGTGTCCTCTGGCTGGAATCGAGCCTGCGGCCCTGCGATTCTAGTGCAACATTCCAACCGAGCTACAGAGTCCAGTTGTCAAGCAGGAGTTCATGTACAGTATGTATACCTGGGTACTGTCATGCTGAGGTATCGGTAAATACCAAGATTGAAACCTATAGTTAAAACCTAGTTGAAACCTTGCTGAACAAAATTTTTGATATTTACTGATAACTTAACATGGCAGTACCCCAGTATACATACATGTACTTGTGGTTACAGCTCGACATCTGTACTCTGTACTGTAGCTCAGTTGTTTAGGGCACTAGCAATATATATTAATCTAAGAGATTTTGTTGGCATATCACTCATTGAATAATAGTCGAAGGATCTTGTAGATGGAAATTATCAAGTGGAAATTTATATATATTTTAACCCAACCAGGAACAGCTGCGAAAAAAGCAACTATAGGTCCCTGGCAGGAATAGGACCTGTGATTCTGGTGCAGCACTCTAACCAACAGAGGCCACTTGTCGAGCTCTCTTATGGATTAGGGTCATGGCAGTACCTTATTATATATGTATATAGTACCCCGGTACATATGTAATATATAGTATTCCATGAACTTGTGGCTACAGCACGACAACTGGCCTCTGTAGCTCAGTCAAATAGAGTGTTGCAGCAGGGCTGCAGGTTCGATTCCTGCTAGGGACCTATAGTTGCTTTTCTCACAGTCGTTCCTGAGTAGGTCTAATAAATGTTTACAAATTTCCACTAAAAGATGTCCATGTACAAGTCTAATACCCTTCATCTATTAATCTAACTAACTAATGATTAAACATACCTTTTAATTATCTTTTCTACAGCTAATTATTCAGGTTAACAAATTCAATAGTAAGGACGAAAGTGGTTTTATAAGCAAACAACCAAGAAATGTTCATGTGATAACAGCAGCAAATTGTAGCCAGTCTAATAGTAACTGTTTGACGTGGACAGTCTGTCGACCCTAGTGATCGGGATTTATCTTGAGTGATAAAATTAATCTACAAATATTTTTAGTTATCTGCGATATTTCCTAAATCACAGAAGTCACAAAACACTGGAATTTTAAAGATTTCCAGTAAAGTAGTGCTAAATATATGTATTATGCCACACACAGTGCATAGTAGAAACCTAGAACTATCTTTATTTGAAGCTTTGTTTGGTAGGGATGCAACTACCTGAAAAATACAAGGATAAACTTCGATGTTTCGAGCGAAGGCCCCTTGTCGGGAAGTTTGTTGCGGGGGTCTGGAAAATTACATGAGCTTTTATGATCACATGACAAATATTAAATCAGATGGATTTAATCAAAACCTTGGGTCATTCCCGAAAAGATCCATACCACCCCCACGGAGGAAATAGGAAGTTAACCCCCCTACCCCCTTTGGATGTCCTAGTACATTTACTATTATCCTAAACAATTTTATCTCCCCTCCCCCTTCGGATGGCAGAAATTTCCTCTGTGGGGGGAGTATGGATCTTTTCGGGAACGACCCATTATAAAATAAACAACAAATGTAAATCACATTATAGAATATATTAATACAATTATACAGAAAGCTACAACATATACATCTACAAATCAGCATATATCAACACTATGTTGTTATTATTTAAAGTTGCACCTCTCACATTATTCTGGGTTAGATATAATATGCTAATTTGTATATAGTATTATTTTTACCTAACATCATAACCTATGTAAACCATTGTATTTCATTAAAAAAACAAGATATCAGTTGATATCCACATCGTTATATTTGTGTTGTATGTGTATGCAATGATTTTTGCCTGCAGATTGATTGAGACAAGAAAATAAAAAGCTGAATGTGCAAATAATTAGTTCTGGCAAAATGTGTTGCTTTGAATCCTTTGTCTGTAGCTCAACAATAAATGCATGCAGTGCCAGTCAAATGGTCATGAAAGTGGACACATTCTTCAAACAGATTTTTCTCCCTGTGTGAGTAAACCATAGTACACAGAGAAAACCTACAACATTTGGTTCAGGTTGACTCATTTCAATAATCCAACACCAATATTGCAAAGAGAAGCACCAGAATATTTTCACTTCATCTGAATTGCAGGGTGGCATATTTTTTATTTGTTTCGATTGATATCCGAAAATATATTCATTCAATGAAAATAGATTCAGAAAATATATTCATTCAATGAAAATTAGATTTTTAACTTTAACTTCACTAAAATATTTGAGTTGTTTGCTTTGCTATCTGGGTATTTATAGAAAACCAGTCATCAGAGAAACATACTCTGACATCATAAAATGGACAACTATTTGGCAATTCCCATTACCTGCTGGTCATTGCCACAGTACCAGCAGTACATGTAATAATTGTACATACATACTGATAATTTTGGAGGCACAGGTAGAATTGATTCTGGTAGCAATGACCAGTTATGATGGGCATTTAGGAATTACCAATTAACTTCCTTATGAATGTTTTGGTATACTTGCAACAGCCATGAAGAGTCATTGGGTATAAAGGGACCAAGGGTGAGAATCCATCACAGAAAGGAAGGGGATGGAGTCGACAGATTTTCAATGCTTCCTCTTCCTTGAGGAAGTGATTGCCATCTCTGTAAATCACAACTTTATCAGCAATTTAGTTCTTATAAAATAATAATGTCATAATGTGAATGCTGAGAGAGATTGACAGAATACATCTTCACAACTGTTACAATATACCTGACTATACTTCTATGGAGTATAATATTTCAGACATTACTAGCAAACATGCTGAGGAAATCCATTGACATTCCAGTCTCCAATCCCATATATACTTTGCTCATTCTGTATATAGCCAGGCACAATATCCTTGGACAACCCCGATAATAAAGCAAATAACTCGTTGACAAAGCGCATTGAAGTAAAATAAATAACAATAGACTTCTTGATATCACTGTGAAAACAAAATAGTTCAACAATTCGTACAACCCCCGAACAATTCTTACGATTAATCGATTATTGCAAACATGATAAACTGAGTAAATAAATATGGCTTTCTGATACTCCTCTTGCCCCCTATCCGCCGTCGAATTCCTGCCAGCCACAGCCGAGCTTCCCTTTGTAGTATTGGCGCTGGGTTTATGGAATTAGTCATCTCCCGTGGCACATTTAATCCAGAGAATCATGAGCTTCGAGTACAGTTTGAACTTGCTAGGCACATTCATCCACGAAAAACGCGACGTTTTGGCAGCTTTTCTCCCGAGTGAAGCTACCAGGGGCCTCCATTACTTTCTGCAAATAATCTACCGGCCGTTCGACACAGTTGTTATTCAAAATATCTTGATTTAAGACCTCGTCAGGACTAAAATTGCCATTTCGA